GGGGGGGGGGGGAGGGAGATGGGTCAGATGGCCCCAAACTCCACAGCCAGACCCCTGCCCCTCTCTGTGGACAGTGGGCAGCCAGCCCGGGGACGCCCCCTGCCCCGGTCAACAAAAGGGTCGGCCACCTCCCCCCGACAGCTCAAGCCCTCCCTGGATTCTCCACATCTCCCCCAAACCTCACTGGCCAAGCAAAGTCCAGGAAACCTCGGTTTGAACTGACTTTATTATTTTGTAAATGTAAATTTTACAAAGCGCTTTACAATGAATGATCACATCCTTTTGTTTGTCCGTAATGGATTTCCGCCTTATGAAATGGCTCTGAGCACGCTTGAAGCCCTCGGGGTTTCCCTGGTCGCTTGTGGATGTTTCTATTTAGTTATTGATACAATGTCAGCCATGGCTAAAAAGTAACAGTCTTGACTCTACCGGGCACATAAACGGGAGGACAGAACTAAACAAAGGCTTCCTCCTTCTTAAACAAAACAAAACCAAACCCAAAAAAGCTAGCATCTTCTGCGGCTGAAACCTAACTCAGTGGTACTGTGAAACCTTCCTTTACAGCACAGGAACAATTTATTTTATTTATTTTTTAACAGTCATGAGTTACAGTACTACTTTAATCCCTAAACAGATTCTCTGAAACAACCGTCTCCTTTTTAAAAGTCTTTTTTCCAAACATTCTGTCCAAAGGATGAATGTTCTATTTGCACCCAGTGCCATCCAAATGTTCAAGTCAAAAATATTTATACATAGTTCTTTTTGTCTGCTAAAAATAGTATTGCAAGTTTTGGCTTCTTTTGACATAAAAATCATAATCACGTGCAAAACGCTAACCATGGACGTGGCTGATCAGAACGCAGGCAGGTCGTCCAAAACAAACGCTTTAGATACTGCGTGACTTTTCTTTTCAAAGAAAGAAAGAAACAAACAAACACAAAAAACCTTTGCCATTTTAGAAACATCTTGCACCAAGCCCTGAACGCTCCGTGACGGCGCATGGAGCCGGCTGGCTGACAGAATGACGAATCGTGCAGCAGCGACGCTCGGAGACAGTAGTTAAAGCAGAAGACGGCTGGCGCTCGGCCCCGCGCTCAGGAGTCACCGCTGGCAGAGGCGGGCAGAGGCTTTCTCTGAGTTTCACTTGGTTAATGGGCTGTAGGCCTTTCTCCACTTGCAGCAAAGATATTTCCATAAAGATAACCCATCTGAGGAGAACCCAAGCAGTAAATGACAACGGGGTGGGGGGTGCACTGGGCCAGTGCTAGAAAGTTCTGGCTGTTAAATAGGGACGGGTCAGGGCCAGGCCCACCAGAGTCCCCTCCGAGGTGGGTGATCTGCCCTTATGTCCCCACCTCGTGCCCTCCTCCCAGTTCTGAACACACACACCAAAGAGTGCATTTTCCTGGAGGAGACATACAACCAGACAACCGCTTTTTACCTTCTTCCAGCCCCCACCCGAAGTCACCCAACCCGGGGACACCAGGCAGGTCCTGCCAGGGAGGCCTCTCCCCGCTTGCCTCATACCTACACTTCATCCACATTTGGGGGCAGGCAGACAGCCAAGCCAAACACGAAGTCAGGCCACCACACGGCACTCCAGGCTGAGCGGACACAGTGCAGAGAAGATGACAGAATTCAAGTACCCGGTGCGCCAGCCTCCGCCCAGCTCATGGCACCTGCCACGTCCCCCGGCCCTTCTCCTGGACCTTCTGCACGCAGCCAGCTGGCTCCTTGGGCCTCCCCTGTGGGAGGGGAGGGTAGGGGAGGGTGGGGGGGCCGGGTCCCAGGCCGACCCTCACGTCAGCAGCTCCGCCGAGGTCCAGTCCCCTGTCCTCCTTGAAAAGGCGCGGATATACCTTAGCTCTGTAATAGACTCTATATAGTATATGCATATTGCTATAGTCAAGCTTAGGAATAAAGGTGCAGACATCTCATAAATACTGAGTGGCTCGTCTCTCGTCTACAGGGTCCGGATGAGTCAGGGTCACGCTCGCAGGACAGCCCCCAATTCTGGAATTAGTCATCTTGTAAACAAAGGAGGGGGGAGGGTCCGATTTTCTTAATTGGTTTTCCTTGGGAAAAATGATCAGAAAATGCTAAGGCACTCTGGAAGGCCCCTCCGAGCCCAGGCCCGCTGCCACCGCCCGCCCGCCTGCCACACGGTACATTCAGGATGCGGAGGGAGCACACCTGGCAGGTACAATCATCGGCCACGCACGTCCGCAAACGCTCCCGACCCACGTCCACCGCGGGACACGTTAGTGCAAAATGCTCAGCCTGGCCCACCCGGGGCGCAGGAGAGCTCAGAACCATTCACATTTAATTATTAAGTTTTACCTACAGCTCTTGCCTTCCTTACCCAGAACAACAAAACAGACGGCGACTATAAACAACTAGGGAACGAGGTCACGGGACATTGTGCTCGCCTGAGCAGCGGTCAGGCATTCTCTGTGCGGCCACCACCTCCTCCAGCGGCACCATTCCCTGCCCTAGGGGAGGGCGGGAGGCCGTGCCCACTTTGGAGTCGGGGGGACAGCCCTTCTGTCAATAGCCAGGACAGGTGGGTCTGTCTCCCAAAGGTCCCCAGGGATGGTCAAATTAAAGTGCAAATTTGGGTTGGGAGGGACAGGTGCAGAAAGTCCAGAGGGGACATGGGTGTGGCTCAACCCCACCTACCATCCCCCTCTGCCCCCTGGGCCCCTCCCAGCTCCAAGGAAGGCTTGGTCCAGGTTCCCAGGGGCCCTGTTGAGGCTCCAACCCCACCTGGGCCCATGACAAGGGAGGAAGAGGCAGAGAGAGGCCCACCTCTGGGCTGGGTGGCTCTGAGTCCACGTGGGAGCTGCATGCCCCTCTGCGCCTTGGGTCTCCCTGGACTTGGGGACCTAGGGGCAGGTAGAGGGACCGAAATGTGCTCCCACAGTGCCCATGGTCCACCTGCCCCCTCTCTGGAAGCCACTAGTTCTTTCTGGAGGGCAGGCACACACTTGACCTGGCTGGAGGAAGCCCCTCCAGTGAGGTCCCCCCAAGGCCTCTCCACAAGGGAGGGTGGTGTTAACAGAAACGAGGAGCACAGGGGCAAAGCATCTGACCGGCACCCCAGGTTCCCATGCAGGACCCAGCACATGGCCCTCCAGCTGAGGGAACTTTGTGGGTCGTGGGAGGGTGCTGGTCGGGTGGCGGCGAGACGCCTGCCCAGCCTGTATGCACACAGCAGGAGGGGCTTGCTCTGCACCGTGAGCTGGGAGGCGAGCTCTGGAGGGGCAGGGGGGGCAACACAGACCCGTCAAGTCTTGGCATGAGGGGGGGTCCTCTGACCACCCCTGGGGAGCTGTCTGGACCTCTGGAGGCAGTCCCTGGACAAGGGCTCAGTGCCCCCAAACTGAAAGGAAGAGGCACCAGGGCAAAGGACCACACGAGCACTTCACACAGCCACCCCCACCCCATCACCTCAAAACAGTAACTAAGCTTCAGTCAAACTTCAAAGTGAGCACTCCAGCCTCAAACCAGCCGGCCCATCTATCTGCCCCCCCACCCCGTTCCTGACTCTGGTCCCTCGTGGCATCCACACCTGCAAACTGCCCCAACGGAGGCCCATGCTGGCCGCCCACCCTCTGCAGCCTTGGGCACCCTCAGAGGTGCAGCCCAAGGCACAGAGCATGATGTTGGGGAGCCTAGCCTGGGGGGTAGGGGGTCTCACCGCAGCCCTGGCCCAGCCCAGGCTGTTGTTCTCGCCCCAACAGAGCCCCCTTCCTCCCCAGGCCAGGCTCCTGAGCTCAGTGTTTCCCTGGGACCTCCTCTGCCCCTCGTGGGAAGGGAGTGGACAATGCCTGGGACGGAGGGGACGTGGATATGCACCCTGACTGCCGCAGATGACCCGTCCCCAAGCCATGACAGGCCGGGGACGGGGACAACCATCCCTCCCAAATTTTTTTGCTCTATTGGGTCTGAAAGTTTCCAAACCATATATGAAAT